TAACTGAGCCCAAATGCAAAAAATAAAAACTCTTCAAAAAATTCATGTTCTCCTTACTTCTTCAGTTCTCCAATTTATTCTTCGGTTCCCTGTAGGTCTCTACTTCTTCCTTCTTCGCTTGTTCTTATTTTTCCAGTTCTTCGCTATGTTGAATTCTGAAATAGAAGACCAAGTTTTCAACTTGTTCGAGGATTTCATGGCCAGGTAGTCTCTACCTCTGTGAGTGTGTTTTGAGCTTTACTAGCATAAATTCACTTGCTATGAACATGGTGGTGTTTTGTACTTTTTTTTTCATCTGGGTAATCTCTTTAACTTCATCGTTGTGACAGGGTGGCCAAGTTTGATGATTTAGTGAATCTGGGAAGCATTTTACTCACTGGCTTTCAGCAGGGGCTGGGTAAGTGTTCTGGGTTATGTTTTATAGATTGTTATCTGCACTAAATTACAATTATTTCCCATGTTCCTCAGTAACATTCTTCTTTTCTAGAGTTTATGAGGCGGGCTCCGGTAGAGAAGACATCTGAGTTGGTTAAAAACATAATCCGAGCTAATGAAACACAGAGAGTTAAGTCATATATTGAAGCTGGATGCATCAACAGTGACGATGGCATGCAAAATATGAACAAGTGTAGGTGCAATTGCTTTCTGTCTTTGGATTCTTGGTTAGATGATTTAGGCCCTCTCAGGCCCATATCACCCTTATTATCCACTAAGTTGTATGATTTTAGAAATTTATACCGAGTTCTATTTTAAAGCTGTGATCTTTATAAAATTTACTTGAAATAATTGGAATGAGTTATAATCTTTTCTTTCTCTTCATTTGATAGTTTTTTGGCCATCTGTTACAGGTCACCGTTTGTACTTTTGCTCCCTTTTCCAACTGTAGTGTCATTCTGTAATGATTTCTTTTGGGGCACTTGTTTCCTATAGCTGTCTGATATTTGTATTGTTCGTAATATTGGGTATATCTGATGATTGCCTTGTTTTTGTTGCTCTTGGGACTGAATTTGCACGTATTAT